AAATTAACTACTGTACTAGAATTTTCGATTGAAATAAAACTATACGAGTCTTCGGGAATTGATTTGAGCGAGTAAAAGAAAAACTATTTACGTAATAACCGAAGCCAGTACAAGCTTTATGAAAATACAAAAAGTCAAAACATAAAGTGTATACACTCGAGCATCTTTCGTAAATAAAATTCAATCATAACGACCTTTCACGAAGCACTCGAGGTATGCAAATTGTTTGTTCGTTCGACTGAAACCGCGCGATTCCCTTCCTTTCTGAATTCGTTATCCTTTCAAACATCCGCAACGTATTTTATTATTTAAATTGCATTTCCTCGAAATGAATAACTCACGGACACATACGGATATGATGGTGAGCGATAAAGTTAATAGATATAAAACAATGGGACGTTGAGTGAAATCTGAGAAAATCTGTTTTATGGTATCTTTTATTTGGGAAAGCGAGAATAGCGAAAGCTTCAGTAAATTAACAAGCTTTTCGACATATACGAAATACAAGGACAAACACAATCTCATTTTGTATGATGTTTTGGTTATTTGTCTGTCTCTAAGCTTTTTGTTTTACTAGATGATGACCGGTTTTTTTTTGATAACGCCATCTTGTTGTATCTTTAAAACGGTTAGTTGCCCTCAATTAAGAAAAATAGTATTATTAATCGCTAATAGATGTCGGGAAGAGTTGATTATTGAAAACACGAATAAAACAACATTTTCTGAAAATAAATCGTGGCTAGATCGATTTATCGCCCCCGAAATCCCCTGTATACTAAATTTTATGAAAATCGTTGGAGCCGTTTCCGAGATTCAGATTATATACATATATATATACAAGAATTGCTCGTTTAAAGGTATAAGATATCTTATAATTTTCATTTAATAAACTAACTTAACTAAAGTTTATTTATTGGATTATTTACATTTTAGGTACACTACAAAGTGCTAATCCTATAAACTATAATAAAACTATAAAAAAATATTATTCCCGAAATCTACATCAAAAATTTCTAACATCCATTATTTGTTATTCATAAATGACTTGTACGAAAGAAATAAGTCATGGACATCTACGGACGATAGTGACAGTTAACGAAGAAGAAAACGAAACCGATCAATTTACCGAGGCTCTTGGAAAGATGGGACAAATGATTTATAATATTTTACCTGTAATCACATAATACCTACAACAAACATTTTTTTTATTAATTCCCCGTGAAATCCGGTCACGTTTTGTTGTGTTTATCGCGCAATAATATATAAAATATTACCTATATAATTGACCCAAGCATTTGTTCAAACTTCTCGCAGACTGCGTATTGTGAGACCGAAGTACCCGGGAGTGCCAACAACAACAGCTGTAGTTCATTTCATTCGAACAAATGACGCGCATCATTACTACAGAGGTTTGTTGTTGATGTAGTCTTCTATATTTATTATATATTTATAATCTCTATATATAAAAATGAATTGCCGTTCGTTAGTGTTGCTAAAACTCGAGAACGGCTGGACCGATTTGGCTAATTTTGGTCTTGAATTATTTGTAGAAGTCCAGAGAAGGTTTAAAAGGTAGATAAATATGAAAATGCTCGGAATTAAATAAAAAAACCAATTTTCCGGACGGATTCCTTTTGTTTGTTTTAAGTTCTGCCGGGTCAGCTAGTAAATAATATATGTAATTTTTCCTAACCAAAACTTGAAAAATCTTCATACACGATGTAAAAGTTAATTCTTAACTTGTTCACATTCTTCTAAATAAATTTAAACAATCTAATTACAGATTTAATTTATATAACTATTTATTTTAATTACATTTTACACAAGAACTACTTTTATGTTAATTTAATGAAACAATTAGCTTTAAGTAATCTATGTATTCCTTCCACGAACGTTTGGCATTTCACACAAAAAACACGGTATTCATATAACAAAAAACTTTATACATAATATATTAAATTATCATTAACGCTGGTAGTCAAATAATGATAACTACTCGTGTCAATTATTATACAACTGTGTAGAACACATCATGAGTATGATTACGACAACATTATGTAGCTTACATAGTATTATCGATTGTTTACGAGAATCGTAGGACATAATGAAAAATAAGTTTATGGCTTAATCTCGCTTTTTTATTGTCGTTATATTATTTCCGTAGCTTCAAATACTTCACTGTTTCCGTCGCCACGACCGGCAAAAGTGTTTTTCGTCGCAATTTGAATATTGTTTTATTGTACACGTAATACAGTAAAAAATATTCATTAATTTAACACGGAAAAAAAGCGGGAGTTACCATAGTATTAAAATGCTGACGAATAACGTCTTCGTCGTCCATGACAATGAACAATGTAAAATATTCGAAAGGCCAGAAATAATAAAAACGCGAATTTAAGCCGTAAAAGTAGTTTTAATTATACAATAAGTGTATTAGTAGCCGAACCTAATGAAAGAAAATCTACTCTGATGTTTCTGTGTTAGTACACATAGAATATTACAATTCCTCAATTATTATAATTCGAAGGGGTCACGTTGCAGGAGATGTCCCGTCTCTACAAGATACGGCAGTTGGCTACGAGCCGTAGCACCGGGTGCTACGACGTAGTACGTCTCTCAGTTCTAACAGCACGTGCACTAAAGAAATCAAATTTTTGTGTGTGCAATTTAGTATATGCAGTGTATTTTTTCGTGAAATATAATTGTATACATATTTTTTTAAATAGTTGTGCTTGAATGAAGTTAGCGTTTCAGAGCATATTCAATATTTTATTAGAATTAGCACATATTACCCTAAAAAGTGTGAATTTAAATAATATTTCATTTATTTCATTTCGTCCCGAATTAAAATTTTGGCATCTTCGGTAAAAAGAAAACAGTCTTTTTTATATTCTTTTTCTTATTCGTATAATAGAATAACGCTAAACGTTACCAGATAGTTACTCATTTCTATTATAAAGGATACAGGACAAAAGATTTTTGTTAAAAAAAGTACATCAAATAAGCTCACATAGATTAATTACCACCATCCTGCCTATTTGTGTCACGAAACAGTTCTGCTCCGCTTTGAAAGGTACCTGACTGTTTCAAATCGAAGCACTGAGACAACGCAGCAGCGGTTGGCATAATGCAAGTGAGGCTTCGACCTCAAATCTTGGGGTAGGTAGGTAGAGTTCGCGTTACCGTATCCATAATTAAAATCAGGTCCGCCGTGATCCCATCTTTTACGTATTTGTTTAGATTTCGAAAAAGTAAGACATGCTTTACCGTACCTAAAAGAGAAAATATGTGTAGATATTATACGGCCAGAGTAAAGTAAACTCTCGTGCGCATAATTTCATTTCACATTCAGGGAAATGTTTGCTGCTAACTGAATGTATTCCACGCGTAAATATGAAACATATTTCCCGACATTACTCCACTGTAAAATTCATCACCATAAACAACAAAATGAATAGCTTGGAGTATTATTATGTATTAGCTAGAGTTTATGTATTATTCAGAATGTAATAAGGTGTTATTTGTTTTTGCTTTTAAGGTACAAATGAAGAAATATAAATTAAGTTACATCCTCTTAACGCAACTGAATTATTAACCTATTACTTCTTTTAACAATTTACCTATTACCTATTTAAATTATTAATCTAAAATTAATTAGGTTAAATGTTAATAGAAAATTTATATCAGCAAGTTGGAATCTATGAGAAAATACCGGAAATCTTTCTTTTATGATGCTTTTGTAGACCAATTAGCTAACGGCCTACCAAGTGGTAAGTAGTCACCATCAAAGGCAATTGCTGACTACTAATAAATCAGTTTTATGTCTTTTGAAATATTATTTTTAAATTAATATTTTCAACGGGACGTAAATCTTATTATGAGTCTCTAAATATTATGTGTTTATTTTATTAAATATTAATATTATATATACAATAATTTTAGGTATTTTTTACACCTTGGGTTACATTATTGGAGTTTTAGTAAGGATCCCTAATTTTTTTCGAAAAAGATTATAGCCTATGTCACTCGGGAATAGTGTAGCTTCCAAACAGTGAAAGATTTTTTCAAATCGGTTCAGTAGTTTCGGAGCCTATTCAATACAAACAAACAAACAAATCTTTCCTCTTTATAATATTAGTATAGATTAAAGTACAAGCTAGAATAAAACTATAAATATTGTTCCGACTAATTACGCCCCGAATATTTACTATTGGCATCATAAAAATAATTAAGATACTTTGAGTACATACGCGTACCGCTTATGTGTAATAATAATCTTGATTTCGATAAGAAATCTCAATCTCAAAAATAATTACCAACCCTATATTTTCATATGAGCGTTTTTCTTCGATATTCGATCGGCTGGCTGTTTGATGTATATTTCTTTCGACTGAACAAACCCAATCGGAATGAAAGCTAAAAATAAAAGATTTCGGGGAAGCCAAGGCCGTATTGAAATTCGTAAATGATTATTATCATTGCGGTATCTTGATATTTCATTGTTTTGACGGAATAAATCCTGACCTACTTGGCTACTGTACCATATAAACATCACAATGTCGCTACCCGCCTTAAGACTTGAGGTCGAAATTTTTCATGTATCTGACGCTTATTATGTATGGCACATTTGATACCGGAACGCATGACAGTGTAGAGTCATAAATAGGCAGTATGGTGGCACCTACCAGCCCTGGTACGAAATACGCCCCAATAATTACGCAAATTACGGATATAATTTTTATTACACGTTATTCCTTCGCTAATGATCCAGGAAAGATCTAATTACTTTTATATTTCCTTGTGTATATAAATAAGTTGAGATCGGTGACAGGAAGACTTAATTAATTAAGATAAAATAGATCACAGATAGAATAACCTTTTTGTACGGTTTAATTACTCATCATGCTATTATCTATCAATACTAATACTACGTTAGTTTTATAATGTTATAAATTTTGGTGAATTTCATTTGTTTACTTTTTATCAATTTTAAGCTGCCACTAGGGATTAAACTAAGCTGGATTTAGGTAGCAAAACAAAATGTGTTCTACAATGTGGTTTGTATGTGCTATCATATTTGTGGTCGCGGACATCAGAACGGGAGCCCTTCAACAGCACGGTCAGTACTAATCTATATTACTATTAAACTTCTATTTGTTCACGTACTTACTGGTGGTGCTGTTTACTGGTGGTAGGACCTCTTGAGAGTCCGCACGGGTAGGTACCACCACCCTGCCTATTTCTGCCGTGAAGCAGTAATGCGTTTCGGCTTGGAGGGTGGGGCAGCCGTTGTAAGTATACTTGAGACCTTAGAACTTATACCTCAAGGTGGGTGGCGCATTTACGTTGTAGATGTCTATGGGCTCCAGCACCACTTAACACCAGGTGGGCTGTGTGCTCGTCCACCCATCTAAGCAATAAAAAAAATTAAAAAAAACGTACTAAATTGGTAATGTTTTTCATCATAAATTAATCTTTTAGCTTTGTCTAATAATGATCTGAGACAGTTTGATGTTTTAAATAAACCTTCTTTGGTGTACGTTATTTTATGGAATGCCGGTGAGAAATTTTGTTTTAATACAGAACACAATTAGAAGTAATGCGTTTATAACAAAAGATAATAATATCTTATACGCATATTACGGTGTTCAACTTTAGATTGCAGTCTATATTTATTTATTTTATAATATTTGAACTATTCCTTATAGTGGGTGGCGCATTTACGTTGTAGATGTCTATGGGCTCCAGTGACCAACTAAACACCAGGTGGGCTGTGAGCTCGTCCACCCATCTAGGTAAAAAAAACCACCCATGAGCGAATAAGAGAGTTAGCCATTTAAAAATACTGTTTTTTAAGTCTACAAGTTTATATCATAAGGAGAGGTAACAAATTTTGTATTTTAGTTAAAAATCAGGCTTAAATAGCAAACCGAAACAACAATTAACATCTTATTTATTCTATTGTTACTAAATATTCAAGTGAAGTTATATAAATTATTGTATTGACATCGGTTTTTGAAGGTTATGCAAATTTTCAAGTTATTCGGGCGTCTTGATGTCTCCGAAAATTATGTTCAAATATTCCGATACTTACAAACAAACATACATATGTACATACCAACCTAATGAAAGCGTATTAAAAATACCATGTTTGAACATCAAAACATTCGAAATGTTTTCTATAGTAAATATTGCATCATTATTATTACATATATGTGGTGAACTAAACACAACTGCGGCTTGTCATGTGTACGAGAGCACACCCACATCAAAGAGCCGGCTTAATTCTGAATTTTATTAAACTTCAGAATGTGATTTCGAAAACAAAATTATCACGTTTTACGACGTTTTTCAAGTTGCTTTACTTTTATTACTCAATTTAACCGTACTTTCGCTTTGAATAGATGGCTGCTAAATGGATTTGTAAAGTGAAACTTTTATACGTTAATGAAATAGATTTGTTCAGCGACAATTGCTATGTGAATTACATGATTGTCTTGTTCCCTATCTTTATTGAGTATTCAATAAGGAGTTATTATTACTGTAAAATAAATTACTATTGTACGGGAACCGTTACAAATTGATCATTTTGAAAAAAAGATGTGTGGTGTTGTGGTTTCGTGGGACACCGGATAGGAACGAAGTTCCTTATTATAAAAATATTAATTTTAAGTTCTATTCGAGGTATAAAGAAAATAAAACTGGAGGCTTCGCAACAACCCACGGTCATTCGGTAACGTGCGAACTTATTGTGGTACACTTCATTCACGGTTGTTTGCATAAGAGTTAGTAGGTATGGCACAAACGAACGCTCTGAGATCGTAGTCAATGAATGATAAAAAATATGTTATTTTTTGTACGTTATTACAAAGTTAAGTCGTACACTGTGTGCATTACTAATAAAAATCTTACGTTACGGACGTTTTTTCCCGGTTAGGGTACCCCTCCGCATCGTCCCATAAGAAACTTCGTTCCAAGAAAGAAACAATTTATAATCTCTAAATACACACTACACACTACAGGCAACATAACTTATTTACTAATGCACACGAAAATGTAGTTAACATTTTTATTACGATATCAAACAATACAAAATAAACGCTATGATGATTTATATATGTACATAAAACATACTGCGCATATTCTGGCCAGTCACTATCTCTAATAAAGACCTTTGGACTAAATGTGACCAAAACCCCAGCGCGCAAGACATTGCCCATCGGAAATAGCAACGGCTACGGCGTAGCGGAGTCAACGCAGCATCAACCGCGTTTGAGTGGCAACCGCTTGACAGGAGAAGACCTGGACGGTCTATACATACTTTGCGACGTACGTACCGTAGAGAGTGAGATGAGGACTGCCAACATGACCTGGTGTGATGTCAAGAAGCAAGCGCCAGACAGGGTCAAGTGGAGACAACGTGTGAGGGCCCTATGTATAAGCAGGGTACCCTTTTTTTTTCGGGCCGGGGCCGAACCTTCTACGAGGTCCACGCGCCTAGGGGGCGCGCGGGGTATGTGGGACTTGACGATCTGCAAGATGTCGGGAGCAGACCGCAGGCCCAAGGAATTTTAGGGCCCTACCGCACTAAACGACTCGGACAACAACAACAACATAAAACATAGTACATGTGAGACAAAGACCACAAAACGTGGTTAGTTCCTTGAATCGTGTTCGGTTAGTATATGAGTTCAAACTTAGAGGAGGGTCGGGTTCAAGACAGAAGACCGTTGTGACGTTTGTTGCGACGCGTGGCTGTTTATGACAAATCCTAACTTCTGACTGCCGACTTGAGAAAACGGACTCCAGACAATTACACTTGACTTGAAACTAACACATAGCATTAGAACACATACTGAGCTAACATTACAAATGGGGTTCCGTACAATGATTATTTCTGCTAAAGATTTTTTTCTATGTGCTGATCGATCTTATGAAATTAAAAAGTTTATTTAAAAATGAAAACCATGTGTTTGTTTTAGATAAACAGTGACAGAACGTAATAATGTTTATTACAGTCGTAAAAATATACATTCCAGTTTGATGTGTAAATGGGTTAGCTGTGTTTCAATTTTGATGGCCATATTTTTAAAGGACTGTTACGCTTTGAGTAATTCTATATTAACTATTTACGTAATTACGAGTTTCATAATTACGTCCATCTGTACCGACACAAAATGAATTCCAACAATTTTGATGAATACAAATAATTCCGTATTATATTACGTCGCATCAGATACGGCTCGTAAATATGTTTGTTTGTATTCATTAAAGAACATTTAATTCAACACATACATACATATACCTATGTAATTTTATTGGTGGTAGGACCTCTTGTGAGTCCGCGCGGGTAAGTACCACCGCCCTGCCTATTTCTGCCGTGAAGCAGTAATGCGTTTCGGTTTGAAGGGTGGGGCAACCGTTGTAACTATACTGAGATCTTAGAACTTATATCTCAAGGTGGGTGGCGCATTTACATTGTAGATGTCCATGGGCTCCAGTAACCACTTAACACCAGGTGGGCTGTGAGCTCGTCCACCCATCTAAGCAATAAAAAAAATCACAAAACATTTAAACGTTACGAAAAAAACAAGCATTGTTGAATTACAAAACATATTGCTCACCGCCGCGCCAGCTACGAAAATACAAAAGTCTTGAAAAGAACCGGGGAAGCAAATTTAATTTAACTCTATCTTCTCTATAATAATAATAATAAAATATTACACTTACCTACTAAGTTATTCACGTCATATCAGTCAGTCATTTTACAATATTTTTTAAGTTTACTTTTTTAATGACGCAAAAGTTCCTTCTTGTATCCTTTTTATCCCTTTTTATCTACTCGTGATTTATTTGTAGAAAACTCATAAATGAGTTTAGATCGGTTTTGTAACTATGATTGTTGTAAATATTTTTTTGTACATACATTAATGTGTAAATTTATAATTAATGTTGTCAAAACCGTTGCTACTACTCCTATTTAGTCAAAAGTTGAAAACATTGAAAATCATTTTCACATTTACAATAGTGTTGTAACTGATCATTAATAAAATACATAAGTAAAATTTGACGAAGTAAACAAATTTAGACTTCGAGTTCAACGCGAATTATTATTACAAGCCACACGTGTAACACTCGAATCCCAATTACAAGACCCGAAATAGCGAAGAACAGAAGTAATTAACCGTGTTTACTCACCTTACCGATCAATACGAGTTACATGGGTATATGTATGTTACACTGGCAACTTAATGTTCTTGTGTACATATATTCCTTACCCGCTGCTGTTAAATCTTTTAATCGGCTAAAGATCTCGCTACCAGGATGTCGCCATCTTCCTTGAGATATAAAGTAAAATGGTTGCTATAGCAACGGGTATATCTGTCAAACCGAAGACATTTTTTGTTTAGCGCCGTGTCAGATTACGTCGCTTTCCTGTACGGGCTATTAACACGGACCCATCACTAGTAATTACTTACTGCTACTATGGGTGACAAAAAATTTAAACAAACTCCTAAAATATGCCTTAACAATAATATTTACAAAGTTTTAACCAAAAAAGGAAACCAGCTTGAACAAAATAAAATAAGAATATCATCAATGTATTCGGAGTCAACTGAGTATTGATTATTAAGAACAACTACTGGTCACGTCTTGATAAAGCACAATCTTTCAATTAAGAAAAGGATGATCATAATTGGTTCGCCTAGAAAACAGTACTGAGGTAGCACACATAAAAAATATAGTCGAATTGAGAACTCTTCTTTTTCTCCACCTTATCCCACTGGGCTCTAGTAACCACTTAACACCAGGTGGGCTGTGAGCTCGTCCATACATCTAAGCAATAAAAAAAAAATGGGGTCGGCACAGATAATTTTTCTCTTCCATTCTCTTCTATCAGCCGTCATCTCAACACTCACTCCTCTCTCTCTCTCATATTGTCATTCATACACTCCATCCATGTCTTCTTCGGTCGACCTCTTCCCCCTCTACCTTTACCTCTACCTCTACCTCTACCTCTACCTCTACGCACATGTCCATACCACGCTAACCGTCCGCTCTTTAATTTGTTGCTTACTTTCACACTTCCTCTGATATACTCATTTTTTATCTTGTCCATTCTTGTCACTCCACACATCCATCTCAACATTCGCATTTCTGCCGCATGCACTCACTCCTCTTTCATGCTTTACTTTCGTCGCCCAACACTCAGATCCATACAGCACGACAGGTCTAATGATCGTTTTGTAAATTTTTCCCTTGAGCTGAAGGAGCATTCTACGATCGCCAATTCTACGATCGGATTGAGAATCTCCTTCTTTTTTGAAGTCCGTTTGAAAATAGACGATTTCAATTTCATACTGAATAAAAACAATTTACTTCGGTAACAGGAATGAAGCCCCAGCAATGTCATCAATGTACCGCGAGCAACACAACGAGCTGCGAGCTACACACTNGTAAATTTTTCCCTTGAGCTGAAGGAGCATTCTACGATCGCCAATTCTACGATCGGATTGAGAATCTCCTTCTTTTTTGAAGTCCGTTTGAAAATAGACGATTTCAATTTCATACTGAATAAAAACAATTTACTTCGGTAACAGGAATGAAGCCCCAGCAATGTCATCAATGTACCGCGAGCAACACAACGAGCTGCGAGCTACACACTGATTGGACAAACATCGTATGCCCGAACGACCGGCCGCATTGTGGGACCATCGCTACGGGACCACGTTAGTTTACTTTTATACTACAAATTTATTTGCATATTCATTTTCTATTTTCTCGAAATGTGTAGAAAGAGTTCATTGTTCATTTGGTGTTTAATGAATGGACCGAATTAAGATATGGGATTGAAGTCTCAATCTGTTCTTCAATCATATCTGTTAATACTGGTGGTAGGACCTTTTGGGAGTCCGCACGGGTAGGTACCACCACCCTGCCTATTTCTGTAATGCGTTTCAGTTTGAAGGGTGGGACAGCCGGTGTAACTATATTTGAGAACAATAGAACTTATATCTCAAGATGGGTGGCGCATTTACGTTGTAGATGTCTATGGGCTCCAGTAACCACTTAACAGCAGGTGGGCTGTGAGCTCATCCAACCATAAAAAGCAATAAAAAAATAATTAAAAATTTGCATTGCATAACGACTGTCCCACGCTTCAAACTGAAACGCATGACTACTACCCAGCAGAAATACACAGCATATGATTCTTATCCATGCGGGATTTCGAAATCTGATAATTACGACCATCATCATCATCAGCGGGGCAAACTCCTCGATACGTTTCTTTCTCTAGAACCTTACTACCAATTATGAAAAGCGAACCAAAAGCTCTATTGGTTCAGTTAAAAGTGTGACAAATGATCTTCTTTCAAGAATTACATAATTACATTCGTGGAAGAAATTCGCACAGTAATTGATTGCACAGTCGATTTATGATTACAATATAAATTGTTCATTTTAATAGTGAAGTCTGAAAATGCACTATAAAAAAAACTCGATTAAGTACCCTCCGTGTTTTAAGGTAAATGTGGTATAGAAATATGTATATCTTCTAATTTTACAATTTTGAAGTTTTAAATGAAGAAAACATTTTTTTACTTTTTAAAGATTACAATAATTATAATTGCGATAGTATTAGATAATCATTATTTTGCTGGTTCAAATTTTTATCTTCAATAACAATTTTTGGTTGAATGAGCAAATAAATTTCGATGACTTAAAACGTATTGTTCTGTTAACCCGGCTTTTGATTATTGCGTGCTGATGCCATAATAGAAAAATGCGCTAACACATAATAGGCACAACCTGTAAATGTTTATCATCGTTCATAGACATAGGCACTACCAATGACTTAATTCACTGCCGATGAACGAATCGATTCTAAGTGACAGGAGTGAATTCTGTTCCGGTGGTGGGTGGTATCATCATGAAAACGAGATTACAGATCATCTCAATAGTTCTCCAGAGCATTTCTCATCGAAGAAACGGTACAATAAATAGAGAACTCTAAATTGTTTCTGTCTTTCGAGTGGTAACTAGAATCTTTTTATTAATTATTATGCAATTTGTTTTTCTTTTCCACAGGATTTGCGTCTTCATTAACCTGTTCAGCAACTAATAACACATCGTGCTCGTTAGTATATTCCACTGGAACTACACTTGAGCTAACCTGTACATGCTTGGAGAAATTTTGCAACCTTCCATTTGCACCGAAACTACAGACTGAACTACTCAATTTTTCATCTAAGTACAACGACAGCGAGAATCTTACGGAAACTTTCTTCAAAAGGTCGATATTTGCTAGCTCGACCGACTTTAGTCTTTATAAAGAGATAACGAGTGAACTGGAAGAAGCTACTGAATTGCCAATGAGGAATAGTTCACAGCTTACCACGTTTTCAATTACAAGTACTACTTTGGTGATCGAAAATGTTTCAAAACATCCGGAAGTTATGCCTCATCCTATTGCACTCAAGCAAAATCCGTCAGTTCCATCTGACGATGACGAAGACGAAAGTGAAGGAAGTGGTTCATATGAAGAACCTAGATCACGCAACCATGCATCTTCAGTACCTGCAGCACCTAGTTCCTTCCTACCCGCGAATGAAAGCAACGCTGCGTTTTTACCTAAAGTCTCCTGTTCTATTTTGCTGTTAATTATAAATATGGTACTGTAGAAATAATGTGTGCAATCTTCAGTATAATAATAAAATTGAAAACAAAATTCGTTTAGCTTCAATCTTTTGGGAACAAATGGGAATCTACAAGGGGACATTTTTGTAGAACCTATTAAGTTTATTATCACTTGGACTATGTCAGTTCAAATTTTTTTTCTCTCGTCATTATTGTTTATTTGAATTACTTTATTACTCAATCATTAATGTATTTTATTTCGAAGTATAATAAGATAACTTTTGTCCCACATCACGTTCATTTTATTTGTTTTATTTAAGTGTGTTATGTGATACACAAAACCCACGTGCCAAACGTAGCATTGTAAATATAGATGTTTTATTTATCATGCAAGAATGTTGGATACTAAATTGGTGTTACGTGTTCAAGAATATAGGATAAGATACGTTTTTTCCAAAGAATAGGATATAAAATATTAGTACTGTATTCGAAATATTTTCCGATTTAGACATGCTAATAGTTTCATTATTATAAATTTTTCGAAAAATTATTGTCACCTTTTACTTAATACTACGTACACTGTATTTTGAAGTAAAAATAAAAGTAGAATGTTTATGTAATTTATGAATAATTTGTTTAAATATTATTTACTAAGTTAAAGTAAAACTTTTACGGTAAGAAGATGTTATGTAAAATAAAACGATACTTTGGATAACGATAACTATATTTGTAAATATTTTAATCAATGCAACGAACCCGCATATTACTTGGAAACATTAATTTAGCAATTATTTTTTTTAAATATTAGGTACTTAGGCAAGGCAGATTATAGAAGCAATTTAAAAATCTGTCATTGAATAAATTACGTTTTAAAACACATTACTTAAATGAATTCTTTTATTATGTATGTCTAATGAAACAGCAGCTTTATGATGCATTGAAACATTGAATTTATTCATTTGATCGTAATGTACTACATTAGAATGCTCACATATGGATAGTGTCAATTAAAACCACTATACTAAATATGATTATATTATGAATTTCTGAATAATAAACAATAATTCAAATATATTATTTTTACTTTCATCAGTAAAAGGCCTTGTGTCTTTCGAGCCTTCAGAGTTTTATTATAATAGGTTGGGGAAAAGTTTCTTCGCATTTTTTAAGCAAATTCACAACATTTTTTAATGTAGTTTATTTACATTTGACTACAGTATGTAGGTAAGTATGTAGGAACTATTTTTTATGGAATTTAGCGTGGACTAGCGTGTTGCCGTATAAAAGAAAAAGTGACAACACGTGCTGGTGGTGTATACTTACCCTTATTTCCATTCTGTTTAAGGCCTAAAATATTATTCTGTGCTAAAATGTATATGCTGATTGTTTAAAATCACTTGGAATAAGAGGTGAGTATACAGCCCTAAGTTTTATATTATGATATTATATTTTCATCGTCTATTAGATATAACTTTTCAGAATAACAAATCCGAAGATTTAATAGGACTTTGTCTTCAAAAAATGAACTTCCGTATTTTAGTGCCCCTTATGTGATTTAATTCAAAAAAAAGAAAACTTAGGAACGCTCCCATCTAAATTGCCTATTAAGAGAACGTCTATTATTTAAATATTTATATTTTTATCAATGAAATAATATTCTTCGAATGCTTAGAAACATTTTTCAAATAATCTAATAAGAGCCATAGACAATGTAATAACAAAGAAGCTTCATCGCCTACTGCGAAGAACTCTTATCAAGTATCAAGTCTGCGTTTGATGGCTCTCTGACTTCGGGAAGAACACTCATACTGTCGTACGTCAAATAACGGTGAAAATTCAGCGTTATTTGATTTTTCATATGAAAAATATAGGACACGTTTTTAAAATAAATAAAGCAATTGTAAAAAAATTGTAACTGCAGGCGATTTAAATTTGAGTAAATAAAATTTTAAGAATGCTTATTATGGTTTTCGATGCATAACCGATCAATAGACACGCCAACCTGGAGGTGGATAGATTGGGAATCAAGCGACTTCCTGGTGAAGCTCTTGGAGCCCACAGCGTTTAAGCAACAGTGTGCTTAGTGCGAGTTTTTTAACGTTCTCGATAGCGTAAAAGTTAACTCAAATTTGTATGGAGTTGGAACATTTGCCTATTTTTGCCACTAGAGGCGCTGTTCCAACTGCATATAAATTTGAATAGACTTTTACGCCTACGAGAAGGTTAAAAAAAAAACTCGCACTAAGCACATAGGTCGTATTATCAGCTTACCTGGAATCATGTTTATCCTACCCTCAAAACCGAACACATAATTGCATTGTAGTCGAAGTGGTGATCAGGTACCAAATATTGAGATCATTCGTGATCTTCACTTAACCACGAAACAGAGTTCATCCCTCTTATCTGGAAGCTCTGCCTTGTTAGACAATTTCCAAATATTTTTTATTCCTGGAATGAGATAACACTAAAATGTAATGCAAAATGTGTGCGCTAAGCCGCGTCGTTTTTTCAAATAAACTTTGAAAAGAGTCCTCAGCAGTAACCAGGATCTTGGCTGTGTTCCAGGGTGACCGCTCATCAACAGATAATCAGTATGTTCTTCTGTTTTCGAAACGATAAAATTTAATCGCAAAGTATTTTCGTACTTTTACTTGGTGGTAGGACCCCTTGAGAGTCCGCACGGGTAGGTACCACCGCCCCGCCTATTTCTGCCGTGAAGCAGTAATGCGTTTCGGTTTGAAGGGTGGGGCAGCCGTTGTAACTATACTGAGACCTTAGAACTTATATCTCAAGGTGGGTGGCGCATTTACGTTGTAGATGTCTATGGGCTCCAGTAACCACTTAATATCAGGTGGGCTGTGAGCTCGTCCANTAGGTACCACCGCCCCGCCTATTTCTGCCGTGAAGCAGTAATGCGTTTCGGTTTGAAGGGTGGGGCAGCCGTTGTAACTATACTGAGACCTTAGAACTTATATCTCAAGGTGGGTGGCGCATTTACGTTGTAGATGTCTATGGGCTCCAGTAACCACTTAATATCAGGTGGGCTGTGAGCTCGTCCACGCATCTAAGCAATAAAAAATAAATAAAAAAAAAGTACTGTAAGTACGTCATTACGCTAAAAATTATATCAAGTTGTTTCAGCGGTCTTTGTTAATACCTTCTTTTCTTTTTTGTTATGAGATTGTTTCAATTTTATCCGGCCCTCTTTGTGCTGGCACAGGAAAAAAAAGAGCAGTACTCAAAGAGAACTAATTTTCAACTCCGTGATTAAAAACGATATTCGTTCTGTTTTAAATCACTTGTCCGTAACAGCATACTTGTGACAAGATTTCCAATTAAAATAGATCCTTTTTCTATATCACAGCGACCTTTCATTTTTAAAAGAAATTCTTTTCTGGTTATTTATAATTGCTTTTAGTGAAGGGAAAAATAGAAATTGATTTAATTTAATGATTAGCCTTTTTGTTGTTTCAGCTGTCCCAGAATCATTAAAAGTAATAAAGTAAAATAATACCTATTTGATAAAAACAATATTAAACCTTCATAGCGTAACTACAAGTGTTTTTGATATAGAATGTTATAATTCAAAAAAGAATTAGTAAAAACAGATACAATAGGTTCTTTAATCGTTTTATGGCGTGGCCATCAATGCAAAATGAAACTGTTTTGAGAAACAATATAATTTAGAAGAAGGTCTTTTGTTGCATCGTCATCAGTAAACGGTTTAGACAATGCGGGGATTATAGCCGCAACGCTGAAAGTTCCGTTCTAAGCAGCACGATAATTATCATATGTCTAACTTAAATTCCCTATCCCATTCAAAATCTGCTAAAGGTATTATTATAAGAGCTTTTTGTAAAGTATATTTTATGAGACTATTGAATCATTTTCAATAAATTATAAAGAATAGATCATTGCTACGTTATTCTCAACTCGACGTGTCTTTACTAGGACGGATTAGATTAAACCAACAATAAACTGTGAAATAAGCGGCGAGCAATAATTTTTCTAGAAATATAACTACCCATTATTTTCCGAGTGTATTATGAGAAAAATATTCGAGTTTCCGTAGTTATGGTGTGGTACATTAACCCGGCGGCCGCGGAAGGAACAATGCGGTGAAAGCTTCTTTCATCGCTTCGCTGAACGCTTTATGTCTTGTCTGTTCGCTGTATTCTCGATCATCCTATTTTTAACTCTGTTTAATACTATATATAACACACTAGCGACCCGCCCTCGCTTCGCTTCGGAAACATTAAAACACACATGAAACCAAAATAAAAAATAAAAAAAATTAATAAAAAAAAGTAGCCTATGTTCATCAGGGACAATGTCGGCTTCTAATGGAAAAAGAATTTTTCAAATCGGTCCAGTAGTTTCGGAGCCTATTCGAAACAAACAAATAAACAAATCTTTCCTCTTTATAATATTAGTATAGATAAATTTAAATTCGATAGATCGAAGAAAAAATTTGTTATATAATACACTTGCTTAGCTTCATTAGAACGGTGCCCAGAAAAGTGTCCGAAATGTACAATAAAAAACGATTCTACAAAAAGGGATATAGAAGAAGTGATAATAATTGCCAACAGAATATATTCTCATGCAGCATAATTTTGTAAGATTCGGTTATCCCTTGTTCTGTTAATAAGGCATCGGTAACATAGTCTTAAACTATTTAGGTGAGAACCCAGAGACTAAGATGCAGATGTGTACGTACACCTTCAAATGTCTAAAGGAATTCGAATAGAAATAAGGTGTAAAAACAATGATTTAAAAAAACATATTTTAACCAAATTAGTCGTCATTTAAATGTTAATCGAAATTACAATCAGAATGCTAGTACTCGCATTTTGATTGTAATTTTTTCCATCAAACATCTCTTCAATTTCAGCGTATCAAAAACCCTTAAATAAAAAATACGTGGAATACGAGTATATTGGAATGTAACACAATTAATAGAATTTTTTTTTTGAGCAGAGCGTCAAGGGTAGGTTTTTTCTGTAGAGTTTCTGTGATTCTGTTAGTGTGATTTTTGTTTGACGATGACTCTAAATATTAGGTTTTTTATTTCCTTTGAAGACAGAAGACTGTTCATCCTACCGCACGCCCTAAATGGTGAGTGGTCATTGAGATTAACAATGCCAGAGATGTAGCCAAGCTGCTCTCTTGCCAAGAATGTTTTAGTTAATTAATGTCTTTCATATACAAATTGAGGTACAAGCACAAAATTGTCCGCGTGACTAGATTACAAATACACAACTCACAAGAGTTTATTAAACATTCACTAAGCATGCATTAGGAAATCAATTAAATTAATGTAAATTAAAACCCTTTTTATAACTTAAAATGAACATAAAAGGTACATCAAATATAAAACATTCAAAGTGGAGGATCTGTGTTGGGAGTCTGCAATAAAAGCTTTACAAGCCGTAGACAGATTTCGTGCCCCTCGGCCGTCTGCGGATGAAACTGA